AGAACAGACCCGTGAGGGGGTGGAGGTGAGGGGACCTGACCACGAGGGCAGCATCATTTTCTGGGGTGAAGAATCTCCTCTGTAGTTTGATTGTGGTAGTTGGTTACATGACTGCATGTATTTGTCAAAACTCTTAGAACTGTACACAAAAGTGTGCCTTTTACTGTATATAATCTTAAAAATAAATAGTCTCTGATTTACAATGATTCAGTTTGAAGATTTTTTGACTTTATGATAATGTGAAAGCCAAATGCACCCAGTAGAAACCATACTTTAAGTACCCCTAAAACCGTTTTTCACTCTCAGTACAGTATTCAATAAATTACATGTGATACTCAACACTTTATCATAAAACAGGCTTTGTGTCAGATGATTTTGCCCAACTATGGGCTAATGTATGTGTTCTGAGCATGTTTAAGGGAGGCTGGGTTAAGCTGTGATGTTTGTAGGTTAGGTATATTAAATGCACTTTGATTTACGATATGTCAACTTACAGTGGTTTTATTGCACACAACCCCATAGTGAGTTGAGGAGCATCTGCAAATACAAACAGAGAAGGAGAGCAAGCAAGTAGTGTGGTCACACCAACCTTCTGCCTAAAACCTTTCTGCAGCTCCAAGTGTCACGGCTAGACCATGGGGCAGCTGCAGCCTGGTCTTTCTCTCTCGTCTCTCCCTCTTTGCAACATACAATGTGCAACTGCGGCCTGCTGCGAGCACTCAACACAGTACCTTGCACAGGGGCTCAGTGCACACAGGCTCCCTTCCTTCATGCATCCTTCTACAGCTGTTAATGTCAGTCCTCCCTCCTGAAAGCTCTTTCTACTCCTTGCTCACCACAGCTAACTTGCAAGTGTTAAGCCTCGGGCAATACCTCCTTCTGAAGAGTTTCTTTGCATCACTGCACTACTTCCTTCATTGCCTGCTCCCCTAAATAAGCTGGGTCTGGTGCCCCTATTCTAAGCTTCCTCAACTGTGCAATAAAGGCTTGGGGATGTTCAAACCCTACACATTCCTTGACCCGCTCCTAGGAGATCACCTCTAAGCCCTTGGAATATCCTGCTTGATAAGAGTGTCTCTGTATATCTGGGGCCTTGGGCCATGTCAGATAGATTATGTCAACAATAATCTATTGGGGGCACCTCGAGCTGTGCTGTATTAGTCCAACCTCTGGAGGGGGGCTGGAGACTGAGTAATTTCAGTCTCATGAGTGCTGCCTACCTATATAACTGACCCCAATAAAGACCCAGGACTCCAAGGCCCGGGGAGCCTCACAGGAGTTGTCTCATATCATGGCTGGGCAAATTAAGCATAATCCATGTGATTTCACGGGAGGGGATACCTGGAAGTTCATGCCTGATCACTCCTGGCCTACATACCTTTTGCCTTTGTTGATTTCAACCTGGATGCTTCACTGTAATAATGCAGAACCGTAAGTAGAACTGCATTTCTGAGCTCTGAGAGTCCTGACAAATCATGCGCTGAGGGTGGCTCAGGTACCCTCCCACATCATCCGGCTGGGTGTGCTTCCCAGAGCACTCATCATGTGTGATGGACTGCCCCTGTCTTTCGCTCTCTGTGCTGTGATTTCATCGTGATTCACCCCCATCTCTAGTGCCCAGAACACAACAGGTATTAACGTCTGGCGGCCAGAGAGGCCCAGCAGCGTAGACGCTCGATGCCCTGCTGGGCCAGATGCGTGCCTCAGAGATTGCGGAGGAACCCAGAAGCCACATGGGTTCTCCACCAAGAAGAAATCATATGACAATGACCACACAAAAGCATAGGTAGTGAACACCGTTACCCCCCCGAAGTCTGAACTGAGCATTAAGCTTGTCAGATGACACGTCCAGAACAGGAACTGAGGAAGCCTGCACCGAGTGACAGCAGTGGGACAGCACAGCAAGGGCTCTGGGTCCGGGCGCCTGAGGGCAGATGAGAGCACAGGCACAAAGAAGGGCCATGGAAATTCCACCCTGTCAACTGCATTTCATTTTCAGATTCTGCCTGCGAAGGAAGTGTTCTCCACAGCAGGGCGAATGACATTTCTGGGAAATTGCCAGCACTGGACATTTAGCATTCAAGAAGTCTTCTGGAAACAGCAAGCGTCTACAGGTTCAGCCTGGATTCCCTGTCCGGTGCTGTGCCTGCGAGTCAGCTGCACTCCCAGGCCCAAGTGCCAACCTTTCTGGTTCTTGCTGAGACCTCTAAAAATGTGCAGCAACAGGCTCCACCATGAAAATCAGACAATTAAGCTGTGCCAAGGATCCCTTACTGGTAACTCTTAATCTTTCTTAATAGATTAGACACGTGCTTTGTCTTAGAGCTATTAGACTAGTCAAATAGAAATATAACATGCAACAAAGGCCAACTCAGTGGGGATTACTCACCCTAAATCATATAACTCTGAGTAGAATCATGAGATTTTTAGAGTTGATCAGCAAAGAGGTCAAACTTTGGTTTTAATTTCTTTGTTTTGCAAATGAGAAAGCTGGCACCCAGAAAAGGCTGTGATTGCTGAATAGCAACAATAACAACACTGAGCGTCTGTGTGGCCAGAACTGTTTCACCGTGCCAACCAGACCAACATACTGCCTATTGCTGGGCCGGCATGGCCCTCAGCCCTGAGTCAGCAAAGGGCTCCATTAAGCCACACCCATCCAGGTCCAAACCTCTGTTCAGACACAGCCTCACAGACACAGCAACTGTGGGTAAGTTACTGCACCTCTCTGAGCTTCTTTTCATATCTAGAGTAGCAGGGCATATACAAAATTCTCAATAAAGTAATTTTCCTCTTCCCTTCAAGTTCTCCTCTCTGCCAGGCTTTTCCAACCAGACTTCCTCATCTGAACCACAAATCTGAAGAGAATTATTTGAGTGCCTGATTTCTCAATTCTTGCCAAGGACAGCAAATTGCTAGTACCACTGCAGAAGAGGAGCGCCAGGGCCAATTCTGTCCAGGAATCCAGTCGAGACAGACGATAGCTTCATGGACTCCCCACTCTATAGCATACATGCAGTGTCTTTTTACATATCTAGTGTTGCTGACTGCAGACGCAGGTCCCACCAAACAAGGCAGGAAGCAGGGGTGGAGGAATGGGAGTGGGGGCCAAGAAGATGAAGAGGTGATTTAAAATGCCCTCCTCCGTGGCTGTGTGGCTGGTGACTGGCCAGCGCTCCTGGGGCAGTGTGCTGCCTGTGGGCCAGCCCGCCAGCGTTCTATGAGGGCACCTCGTTCATTTCTGGTCTCATATCAACCCTCACAACACCTGTTGCTCTAAAGCCCATTGCCAAGGCAGCTGATCCCCTCAAGGAGGAGCCTCTGGGACCTTGCTTTCGCCTTGTGCTCCCCCTGGCCCCACACTCCAGACCTGCACTCAAACATTGCTGTTATCTTTGACACCAGTGCTGCTGGGTTGGGGAGTCCCTGGTTTTGGTCTTGCTTAATAAACCCCAGTCTCTGCCATCTCCACCTGTCTCAGTGGTACACACATTTGGGACAGAAGGAAGAACGGAGGAGTCCGGGGGGAGGGGGCCCTGAGGGGGGACCAGGGCCACCTCCTCAAGCCTCTCTGGGCCGGGCCTGCAGCTTCCAAGGTTCAAGCAAGAATGCCTTTCAACCCCTGAAAGGAAGGAAAGCCATTTGGGCAAAGAGAGAGGAAAGGGGATCCTTTGCCAGTTTGATTAAGGTCGCACTTACATTTTTATCTAGCTTGGTTTTATCAAAATGGGTTCTATTTAAGCACCTGAGAGGAGGGAAAGGAAGGTTTCAAGGGAATTGGGATCGGATGAAATCAGAGCTACAGAACAATGAAACACTTTTAGTTGGAGGAAAAACCGACAGCTAGATTATTCAACTTTCCTAAATGGTATGTTTTGGGAGAGGGCAGATGAGATCACGGAGTGCTCACTGCAGAGGTCTGCATGTCTTCCATTTCCCTTTCCGAACGCTCTGACTGCAGAGCAAAGCCCAACCCCTGTATCTGTCATCCAAGGTGCGCTGCTGGAGTGGCCTTTCTCTCCTCCTCCCAACACAGCTCCTCTCTGCAGTCTGTACCCCCCTCTCTAGCTCTGAGTTCTGACTCCGACACATTCAAAGTCTCACCCCACGCTGACGTGGGGCCTGGAGCTTGCACAGGCTGCTCCTTCAGCCCATCGCAGAAGCATAATAACCTCCAAGCAGCAACTGCTTTCCTTCGCCCCTACTGAAGAGGCTCAAGATACTTGTGGAGTATTTGCAAGAAGTAAAATAGAAAGAACGCTGTGCAGCAAATCACCAGGAGCAGGCGATCACCGTCCACAAAGCCACTATGGGCTTCCTCACTCCATTAATATTTGGAAACAAAGCCTTCCCCTCAATCAATGCCCAAAACTCGGCCCTCCAAGTAGATCTGGGAGCTCTATGGGGGCACAGGGCACCAGGAGACACCAGAGCAATCTCATGTCCGGGAAAATGCGCTCTTGCTCCAGAGGGCCCAGGACGAGCCCCCACCTCTGGGCTGGGAGCCTCCGTCCTGGGTCAGGACCAAGCACACCGACAGCCAGGTGGCGCAAGCCGGTCCAGCCTCGGCCCGCGGGCGCTCTTCCATCTTCCTTGCTTTACAGAGCTGCGGTCCGGAAAACCAGACCTGTCCATTGGTTAAGAACAGTTTGGGGAAAGGAAACAACCAGGGGCCAAATTCTAGTCTCACCTTAACCACGCAGTTTCCCAGTTGACGACGTGCCCCGGTCGGTACTGGGGCCAACAGGGCCCGGGCTGTAACAGGTGGCCCACCAGTGAAAGCGAGTCAAAGAAGAGACAGGAGGGAGGGTATCAGAAGGAAACCAGGGACATGAAAAGGAATCAGAAGGGTGAAGCCCTAGGAAGGAAGGGACCAAGACATGGAAACAAGAAACAAGACGGAAAAGTGAGGCAGGAAAGACAGTGACAAGCGGAAAGGAGAGGCGAAGAGGCGCGAGAGGACAGACGCCAGGAGCACAGGGCGCGGGCGGCGCCCTTACCAGCGGTGGCCGAGCACAGGCTCTCCAGGCTCCAGGAGCGGGACAGGGCGGCGCGCATGCCCCCGCTGCTGCCGCGGCCGCCGCACACCACGCCGCTGCTGTCCGAGTCGGAGCCCGGGGACAGCCCAGCGCTGCTGCTGCTGCTTGTGCCCAGGTCGCCGCTCGTCTGCCCGCTCGACTCGCTGGGGCATTGCTGCGCCCTCATGCAGGCGGGCCCGAGCTCCAGCCACAGGCTCGGGGGAGGCTGGGCCGAGGGCGGCGGCGCGGCAGCGGGGCTGCCGGGCGATGGGGCGCACGAGCCGGGGCCAGGGTCGCCGTCGGAGGGCGAGGGGCGTGCGGGTGGCCGCGCGGCGTCCTCTGCCCCATCCTGGCCGCCGCGCGGCCGCCGCTCCGGGCCGGCTGACATCATGGGGCCCGGCTAGGGAGGCTCTCGGCTGGCCGCGGGCCGCTCTGGCTCTGCGGCCGCGGCGGCGGGGACTCTCTGCAGATGCGGGGCGCGCGCGGCGCGGGGCGAGGCCAGGCGCCCACCCGGCAGGACGCAGCGCACCCGCTCGCCGCCAGCTCCCTGCCGGCCGGGCGGGCGCAGAGCCGCGGAGGCGACCCCGGCGCGGGTCGCGGGCCCGGTCGGCACGCGCTCACGCACGCGCGCACGCAGACCTGGAGCGCCGGCGACGGCGGGCGCGGCGAGCGGGGCCCCAGGCCGCCCTCGGTGTTCGCTGGCCGCGCCTCCGGCATTAGCACGCGTGTATTAGGGCAGGGTTGGCCTCAGGAGGGGACGCCCAGGCACCCTGCGGCCGTGCTGGTGAGTAGAGCGGTCGTGCGCTCGCCTTTCCTCAGCAAAGACTTTAGCTCCGAGAGCGGGCGGCGCGTCCACACCCATCTGGGGCGGGGACGCCAGCGGGTGGCCCAGCTGAGCCTCCCCTGGCCCCGCCCAGCGCACTGGAGCGGGGGCGACCTGGCTCCAGCCACCCTCCCGACTGCCGGGGGCGGGAGCCGCCCCGCCGGGCATGCGGTCGGCCGGCGGTCTGCGGTGGTCAAGGGGCCATACAGTGTGGAGTCACCGTCCATGCCAAAGGGTTTAAGAAGGTGCGTGAAAAAGCACAGTGACAGCATAAACGAGAACGGGCCACGAGGCGCGTGACAAGGAGCCAGGAATTATGGGGTTGTTGGGGGTGGTCAGGGCTGGGAAGGGCGTAGCTCTGTCATCTGTCCCTCTGAGAAGTCGTGAGCATCCATAGGTTCTTAGAGTCCACATAGCAGAAGAGATGCCTCCACAGCTCCAAACAAGGGCGCTAACCAAGAAGTCATCGTATGAAATACAAAACCCAGAAAGTGGAAAACAGTGAGCGCTGTGGTATCCCTTGGGGGTTAGGGGAGCCTATCAGGGCCGCTGACACCCCTCCTACCCCAATGCACACGTAGCACCATCACCCCTCCGCAGCCCGCAGGGGCTGGTTCTGCTGTAGCGCGCCAGCAGTGTTGAGACGGCTGGGATGAGTAAGAGGTGTGCGTGGTGCTCCAACACCCCAGACGGTACAGAGTGGGTGCTGGAAAAGTAGGCATTCTCCCTGCTTCCTGCCATTTGGAGTCTGTGTCGTATAGCCCATCTCCATCCCTGAGCTCCTAGCTCTTAGCTCTGTACCACAGGGACCCTGCATCTCATTGTTTCCTCTCCTGGCGGCCCTCTGGTATCCAGGCCAGCACACCAGTATGTTATTAATAATATCTGCCCCAACATCTTGGGCAATGGCCCAGCACAGTTCTAGGTGAAGGGCCAAGCTCTGTACATGCATAGCTAACACTGGTGTTATTGTTCAATTAAGGGGCAGTGGGGGATGACTCAGCCCAATCTCCATGTGGATCTCCCCACCTTCGGTTCCTCAGTTTCCTTTACTTGTCTGGAGGATGTGCCTGCCTTTTCTGACCACCCCATACCCAGCATGCACAATTCCCTTCTCTGCTTCCATTGTTTCCCGTCCTTGAGAAGAACGGCTCTTCCCCTCCCTTCTTCCTGGGCACCCCTCTGGCAGTCTCTTCGGGGGCTTCCCTTCACACTTCCCAAGTCCTGGCTGCGGACTTCTCGCCTCCAGGCACCCCTGCGCCTTGCTCTCTGCACTCCAGCCACAGTGCTGACTGGCTGCTTCTCCTTTTCCCTCAGGGTCTGGGCACTCACTGTCCCTTTAACCTCAGATGACCTTCTCTTGGCTTTTCATGGTGTTGGCTCCTTCTCAACCTTCAGATCTCAGTCAGTGTCCCTCCTCAGACTCGGTTTAGTCCTTCTCAGCACTCACTCTGCCAGTGGCTGGCTGCTCCCTACAGACCAGGCGTGTGAGGGGACAGGGCCTTCCCCAGCAATTTGTTCCCAGGGGCTCGGCTTGGTGAGGAGCTGCAGAGGGACAAGGATCTGCAGAGGGTGGGGGCAGGGGCGGCCAGCTAGGCAGGAGAGGGAGGCTCTGGCTCTTTGGGGTAGGACTTCGGGAGACCTGAGGGTGCTCTTGTGTGGAGGGTGCAGTGGCAGCGGCCTGAGCAGATCCAGCCCATGTGAGCTGCTGTCTCAGCCAGAATGCCTTTACAAAGTCTGTTTCCCTTTTGAATCTTCCCGAGACTCCTGTGTATTCAAATCAGGTATCATGGTTTTAGCTGTCGTATGGGGAAAGGTAGTGTGCCCCACTTTGTGCTCAAGTATGAAAGGGATCTGTGTTTTCTAAGACCACAGTGGTGATGATGGCTGAAATTAATGCCTACTATCCAAGGTGTGGGCATCTCAGGGACAATGATATTGGTATAGTGAGACTTAGCTGCACCCACCAAGGGAAGACTCTGTCTCTGCAAAGCTTATAGGTACCATTTTGGATGCTATTAAGGGAGATAGGCGATGCCCTTACCATCACATGTTGGGTTTATGATTACAAATAATTATTTAGGTACATTTACATATATTGTTCATATATAGTCATGCATGTCGGTACAATGGGGATACATTCTAAGAAATGCATTGTTAGATGATCTTGCCCTCGTTTGAACATCAGAAGGTGCACTCACACAGACGGCGTGGCCTGCTGCACACCTAGGCTCTGTGGATGGCCTATTGCTCCTAGGCTACACACCTGCACAGAAGGTCACTGTCCTGAATACTGTGAGCAGTTGTAACACAATGGTATGTATTTGTGTATTTAAACATATCTAAACCTAGAAAAGACACAGTAAAAATATGATATAAAAGATAACAAACAATACACCTGTATAGGGCACTTACCATGACTGGAGCCCGCAGGACTGGAAGGTGCTGTGGGTGAGTCAGTCAGTGATGAGTGATGTGAAGGCCTCGGACATTCCTATGCACTACTGCAGACTTTATGAACACCGTACACTTAGGCTGCACTAAATCTACAAAAACAATCTGTTTACACCAGCATCAGCACAAACGTGTGAGTGATATGTGCTGTGGCATTCTGACAGAGGCATTGCTAGACGAGAGGAATTTTTCAGCTCCATTATTCATCTTACGGGACCTCTGTCATACATGTGGTCTGCCATTGACCAGAACGCCATTATGCAGTGCATGTCTGTGTTTATATTCTGTACATACATGTGTACATATGAATGAACATTTACACAATGTCAGAAAGGCAAGCACAGAAGGGTCAGCTCAGAAAGGTCAGTGTTGCTTGAGGCTGGCTTGATAGTGTGAAGGGGGAGACGAACCCCCTGCACACACACGAGCAGAAACAGAGCGGGGCCGAAGCCTGGAGACAAGTTTCTGTCTCATGTCTCCTAACTGACCTCTGCTTTCTACACGAGTGCTGGAGGGAGAGAAGCTTAAAGCCAGAGCAGTCTGGGTTCACATCCTCATTCTGTCTTACTAGTTGTGACCTACTAAATGACTTAACCTTCTTGCATGTTTCTCCTCTCACCCATCAAATAGGAATACTAACAACTACTTTGCAGGATTCTTGTGAGGACTGAGTAAAACAACCTGTAAATATGCAGCAGTGCCTAGCCACGTCTGAAATGTTAGCTTGGATTTATTAAGTGTGTACCAAGTGTTAGAAGCTTTGCATATATTATTTAATCTTCACACCTTTATCTGATAGGTACCATTATTAGCCAGTTTTACAGTTGAAATGAACTGAGGCTCAGAATAGCCCAAGGCCACACACTCAGGAAGAGGTGGAGCTGGCTCCAGGCTCAGCACCCATGCTCTGAACCACTCTGTAACTATCCATTCCCTTTTGCCCCTTTTTGACAATTCCCCAGACATTTCTTGCCCGAACATCACCAGTACCATTGGCAAAAATGACTTAGCAAACCTACTATGTGCCAAGTATAATCCTAGCTGCTGAGGATATCATGAGGAAGTTTAAGAAGTGGATCAGAATAAGGTACGATATGAGCACAATCATACAATTGATCTCCTCCAAGACTCTCACTGAAATTACCAATAGGTTATAAAACCAGAGAAAACTGAGATTGACTTTGGGCAGGACAGTGAGAGAAATTCCTGAGAGGAATGACCCACTTTCCAGTGAAACTGTTGAAAATTATTTTAAAAACAACTATTTAAAACCTTGGGAATGGTCCTAAGAGTAAACAGCAAATAAAGAAATGTCTTTTCAAGAAAATCAACAATTTAGTAAGAAAAGCAAAAGTCTGTGTTGTTTGAACCAAAACTGCTCCTTCCCTCCTCCTCAGCTGAGTGAGGCAGAGAGGCCACTAGGGGCTGCTGCGGCCGTGACACAGGCCTTCTTTCCCTCCTAGCGTCCCCAGAGGCCTTTCTTCCCTGCCCCCAGCCACCTATTGCTGGGTGAGAGTGGTTGGGCAGTGCCAGCTCCCTTCTTTGGCACGCTGAGAACACTAAGGACTTGGAGCCCTTCCTCCTGCTGGTAGGACAGTGGTTCCATGCCAGGAGAGGCAAGCTGAGAGGACCTTGGGCTAATGCTCTCCCTCCCAAAGGGACCCACAGAGTGTCACTCAGAGTAAAGCTCGCCATTGTCCTTAGCCCCAGCTCCAGAGCCCTGGCTCAAAGGTTTTGCCTGGGGGAGAAGTGGGCTGTAAAACAGATAGCTCCTGCTTTCTTTCCAAAGGAACTGACCTCATTTGTAACAGAGCATGGAGAAGTTTAAACCTAAAGGTGCTTTCAAAAATAGTTGCAGTGAAGGGAACTGGGAGATTTGTGGATCTAACAGAGATACAGCCTAGACTGTAAACTACTATTTGTAAGAGAGAACAGAGAATAAGACAGTTGAGAGGAGCCCTTCTGGGATTGGAACAAACACCAAACATTGACCTCAGGAAGTGTTCCTTCAAGTGAGCCAGGATTTGATTGCATTAGCTTATAGAACAATTTATGCCCCAGGACAATATTGAAAATAACAAAACAGTCAGCTGCCAATTAGTGACGCTTAACATCTGGGTGTGGTTAGAGA